GGTATCGGGTGATATCGGTATCGGAAATTGAGAGTTGGACAATATCGGAATATCGGATATCGGCAGAAAAGCCAATATCGAGCATCCCTAAATATACCTATTAAGTATGTTTTAATTAGTGGATAATTACCTGGATGTAGGAATTGTATTTTTGTTACCTTTAGAATTTTGGGTGCCTTGTTGAATCGCCAAGTTTCTATGGTAGTACAGAATGGGAGAAACCAAACACTGGCTGTAGACAAGGCCTTAGGCAACGCTGCACATGATGCTCCAGTGAGAAATGGAGGCTAGTAGTGGTGATAATGCTAACCATCATAAAGAAAACAGGAGCCAAAACATCTCTATCGCCCCCTGGTGGCTGACTGTAGTATAGGTAATAAAGCAGATGGGACATGGGCTAAACTAAAAAATCAATGTACACGTTAAATATGGTAATTTTAGGTAGTTTTTTATCACACTAATGTATGTCTAAGTGATATTTATTCCTATTAATTGGGTTGTAAATGCTTTAAAAAGGGGTTCACATCAGTCAAGTTAGACAGACGTATGAGTGGACCTTGATACCTCCAACGATATTGCCAACCACGATCATTACTGTGCAGACTCTGGCTACACATGATGTCACCAGTGCAAGATGGCAGCAGCCATATCCTTGATATTTTGGCTTAATTGTTGTACAGTGGATGGAAGTGGTGACACAACGTCAGAATTCCACTAGGTGTCTCTCCGCTGTGCTTGGCGGAGAACACGCAGCTGATCTATTTTTGAGGGAAGCAGCAACCCACTCGCATCAAGCAGTACATAGCAGTTCGCATTGGCAGGAAGTCAAACACAGAAACAGCATAGAGAATCCGGGCAATTTTCAAAATAAAATACTTTGTGCAGACTCTACATGCGACATCAACACTGTGGCACTATACCAGAAGTCAGTCAGTCAGAGGACATTTTAAGCAGAGAAACATACGTTTTGTATCCTTTTTTAGGAAAAAAATACATAAATCAACTATGTATGGCAGGCAACACGCTCTTAAGACGCTCACGTGGCATTTGAAGACGCGTGGATCACAGAGCCAAACCGTGATGTTAAGCTGTGCCTGGTAGAATTTCGGGGTTAGTGTATCAGGCAAACATGCAAACCAACCATATATATAGAGCAACTGGTCCAGATTTTTTATTCAGCTCTTAGGTCACTAAAAGAAAGACAGCGTTGAGCACATTCTTTATTTATTTGGTTCAGAAGGGCACTTCAGCCAACGAGGTAACAGGGTAGCAGCGTGAACCACTATAGCCACCATACTCAGCACGTTCCTAAATGTGGGAATCAGCTTCCTGTCTGCTTCCACAACCAGACACATCACTTCCTACTCATAAGCTTGTGGGTATGGCAGGGATATAATTAACAGACCTGGATTGGAATAGCAATAAGTATTTATTCTGGTATCTTCTCAGAGAACTTGACACCAGTATGAGAACACCAGTATGAGAACACCAGTGACCCCTGATTTCTGTCAAAACAAGAAGAATCAGACTATAGTTACTGTCACTCTGAACATCACTATTTTAATGGAAGATGGGTTACACCCCAATGGCATCCATAAAAAATGGAAAGTCTGTGATTTGAACGAAACCCTACAAGAGAAAGTGGCATTAGGACTGTCCTGCTTTGTTGTGATTTGAACTGCTACATGTTCAAAGACATGTTCTGCTGCCGGTCGGGAGCCAGTCAAGAGACTCACTGCCCAGACATGTTGGGTGGTGTTAGTCAATTTCAAAGGTGGTTGGTAATTGTTGCTCTGAGATCATGAGTTACTTCATCAAGTAAAAGTCAGCCAGGAGAGCTCAAACCTCCTTTGGTTCTCAGCAAGTCTCCAACCTGCCTCCGCTGCACGTCACTTTCTAAAATTTCCTCGACATTTGGTCTTCCAACAGAAAAGTCATGTTGATTACAGGACTGATTAGGAACTTTCAAAGTTCTGGATGATTTGATTTGATAAATACAGCATAATGATAAGGGTTAGTAAATGATTAGTCAGACTGTAGTAGTACCGAGCTTGTTCTCTCACTTTTACTGACACAGAGGATTTGTCTGTACTGCGTTTTATACAAGGCGACCTCTGTCAGTCTGTAAAAAGCAGTTGGAATGTGGCTGGGTGTGTTTGTTTTCCTTGAAAATGTACACACACAAACATGCACGCACGCGCACACAAGAGCACACACACAAAGGTGTGGAAGCTGATTGTTAAGAATCACAAAGTGGAGCTTTCTTTGGAAAGAAAGACACTTGGCGTGTGTATTGGAGCTAGGTAAAAAGTCAAGTTTAAGGATGCACCGATTCTAATTGAAACCATTAATGCAATGTGGAGGAGAGGCTCTTAGGCTCTTCATCTCCAGTGTGAACAGCTCCATAAAAATGTCAGTCAGTTCCGTTTATTATCACATACAGTATGAGAAATAGAAGTAACAAATCCTCACATCTGTCAAATTGGAAAAAAAAGACTGAAGACTTTGGCATCTTTGCCTGAAAACTGAATTAAACGGTTGGTTAACAAAATAGTTGCCATTTTTATTTTTAAAATTTACGGAATGCAAAATATTATTATAGGAAACAGACTTATTTGCTTTCTTGCTGAAACATAGATGAGACAATTTATACTATTCTCACATCTCTTCAATAAATATGTAGATAGAGCCAGCAGCTGGTTAGCTTAGCTTAGCTTAACCTAGCCTGAAGACTGGAAACGACTAACCTGGCTCCCTCCAAAAGTTTAAAAAGTCTGCTTATTCCTCTGGCTCCTCCTAGTGCTCCTAATGGCATTTGAAAACAACTAATTAGAGCTGAGAAAGATATAAAGACGCTTTGGTTTGGATCCCAAACAGTCAACTATCTCTCTCAGCTCTGATTGGTTGTTTTTGTCAAGGCCACGCTGGATTCTTACAAATGCCATTAGNNGGTTGTTCTCGTTCAGGCCCGGTGGATTCTTGCAAATGTCATTAGGAGCTCTAGGAGGAGCCAGAGGAACCTGATAGTGAATATGACAAAAAAATTACGTTTGTAAACATTACCTACTGCAGCTTTAACATATTATACCTTCTTTGTTTAACCGGTACAAAAATCATAGTGTATTTCTTGGATTTTGTTCAGAACTGATGAAAGAAATCCTGCAATTGCAAAAATATACTCCTGAATATTGTTTAAATTGCAATATGACTAGACCTTTATCAGACAAATAGTTTATCAGTTTGGACAGAGCCAGGCTAGCAGTTTCTAGTCTTTATGCTAAGCTAAACTAACTGGCTGCTAGCTTCGGCTACATACTTCATATATATACCTTAGAAAGTGGTATCAACCTTCTTATCCAATTTTTGTCAAGAAAACATGTCAAAAATGTAGAAACTAGGGTTTTACTCATTATTATTATTATTATTATTATTATTATTGTTATTATTATTATTCATAACTACATTAGCGAACCATGTTCAGCTCTTTTGCATTGTGTATCAATGTTCCCATGGTGTACTGTTGTGTTTCATGCCTTGAAAGCCTGAAACTCTTGTAGCGTCCTTGCCCAATCTTTATCCAGTTAACCTGCGTCAGATCCAGCTGACTGGAGTGACTCAGGCTAATTCACTACTCAGCCAACTTGGATTATCTGCAAGTGATGAGAACAGTTTGTTTGCTTCTGTTTTAGTTTTAGTTTAGTTTTTTTGTTCATTGTTGTTTTTTATTGTGGTAGCTATTGGTTATTGTTCATAGTAATGCTATGTGGATTCATCTGTCAATTTAGATTTAAATGATTGGAACTCATTTGCTAGATGCTAAAATGGCCTTTGTGGCATTCGGTCAAGACGCGACCCATGGCTTCTGACCAAGAACCGCAGTAGCAGAGAGACAGCACAGCCTTGTGTTGAAGCTTCACCCTGCCTCCTGTGGGACTTCTCTGTGGCTTGGCTTTTGTCCACTGTAGTAGTAGGTAGCCTGTGATTGGTCAGATTATGGAGAGGCTGTCATTCAAGAGGCGGCATCACATGAGCAGAGCAGCACTGCCAAACTAAAATGCATATTGTTGCAATAAATGGTTAAAGACACCAAACAGTGTACACACCGTAGACAAAAAACAACTGAGTGTGCTGAGAGACGAGATTAAAGCTGCAGTAGGAAACTTTGTATAAAATAACTTTTTGTCATATTTGCTGAAACTTTAACTATATCCTTTCAGTAGAACAAGAGACAGATAACCTGTAAAAAAAAAAATCAGGTTCCTCTGATCCTCTTGGTGCTTCTAATGGAATTTGTAAGACCTAATTAAATACTTGGATATATCAATATAAATTACTAGTCATGTTGAGTGCTACTGACACAGCTCTATAATGTCTTATGTAGCTCTGTGAGAGCATTGTTACCTTTTTTGGTTGTTTTTTCAGGGGTTTTGTTTATTTGTCTGAGAAGATAACGCTGATGATGTCATAGTGATGTCATCAGGGTTATCTCATAATTTATAACAAAAAGCCTGGGATATAAACTAAAGGTGTGTGGTCTGAAAGACATTGGGATTTCCCACCAGGAGGTTTGAATGAAAGATTCTATTGAATTTATTTGAAAAGTGTCCTGAGATAACTTCTGGTTTTAGTGTTTGTTGTGTGTTACATTTTGTTATTGTTGTTCACCTTTTGGCTGTTGTTTCTGTGTGTTGTGTTGGTATTTCTGTGGCAGAGTAGAGACTGTGTGTGCATGACGTGCACAGAGACCACTCTGAACCTTCATGCACACACACTCAACAGGAAGGAAATGTGACTGCAGGAAACAGTTCAACAATCACGCCCTCTGACCCTGTGTGTGTATGTGTGCGAGTGTGTGCACGCATATGTGTGTGTGTGTGTGTGCGCACCTCGGACTTCTACATTCAGGGCAATGTAAATAATACTGTAATAGTGTAACAAGCACCTCCTACACATAAAGGCCTCTGGCTCTGTCTCTCGCTCTCTATGTTGTCTCTCACATACAAATTAGCATATCTGCCAGACAGGGACAGAGAGAGAGAGCAGGTCAGTGCCAGTGCCAAACTCACGCTGGGCACAAGCCTGTGGTTGCCACGGAAACAAAGCCACGTGATCACAGAAATGGTCACCGGGGAGACAGATGCTGTTGACCTTTTTAGAGAGGGGGAAGGGGTGTTATAGAGAGTGAAAGAGCACATTCGCACATATATTGTTCAAATGTATTCCCCTTTTAAGGGAGAGAAGGGGTTGCAGATTGTTATATAATGATATCTATTTGTATTTTCTGTATTCTCCTACATTAACGATAGTGCTGGCTTACACTGGTGCATGCTAGCTGGTGGCAGATGTTATTGTCCAGTTCTACTCTCTCAAAGGTATAGTGACTAGAATGGGATGGAGCTAGAGGCAGTTTGAGCCTCTGAATGTTCCTGTGGTCCAATCAAGACGTGTTTTCAAATTGACTGCTTATTTAAGCAAATAGAAATAAAAACAATAGAATTATAAAGTATAATAAGAAGAGATGGATCTTTATAAATGTAAGATAAAAGCATAAAAATAAAAAGTTTTCAGAATGGACTAAAAAACTAATGGTTGCATAAAACCTTTATTTATATAACGCTAAATTGATTTACAGAGGTGTTGATTCAACTTTGTGGTCATTTTGGGGGATGCAGTTTGTGGTCCTGCTGAATTGTATTGCACTGAGAGGTGTCTCTAATATTTTGTCCACCATTTGTATCTATAAGGGTAGACTATGGTGAATGAATGAATTATTGAGCGGCCTTGTAACGCACTTTGGACTGAAGTGCTATATAAATGTAGCCATTTAC